GTTACAACTAATCATAGATCCCTTTAAAAACACCTTGGCCACCCCTGTGCTACCCCTTGCAAAAAAGTCTAGCTCCACCCCTGGCGTGTTAATCTCGTTTAGGCTCTAAAAGACTCACCCGCAATGAAGAATGTCACAAAGTTGTCCAACATAAACTCCTCATCTTCTTCAGTCATGTTTTCCTCTGTTGCAAAAAAATGGGCAAGTCAGTGATCTGATGTTAACCTCAAACACTATGAGAATTTCAGACACTTTGCTAAAACTTGGAAATCCATCCACCAACAATGTTGGAGCAGTTTGTGAAACCTGTGTGTGTCGTTTGTCATCACTGACAATGGTTGTGAAGAGGTAGTAACACAAAATGACACTTCTTCACATAACCTGTGGCAGCAGTTTTGATGATTTGTGTCAGGATGTCCCTCGGGACGTCTTCGCCGTTCTGCATGGCAGTCCTCCTCTCGTGGATCACCTGAGCGCCGGTTCTGCGCAGCAGGCGGCACGCTTCCCTCGCTTCTTTAACGTATCGTCTGTTCTTTGGATTGAACTGGGAATAAGTAGACTTGAGGTGYTCAACAGGCTGCTATTCGTAAGGTTTTTGAAGGGCAAGTTCCAAATTAAAGTATTACCTCGAAAGTTAAATCTCTAATGTAGTACACCATCGCTTCCAGACAAGTCTCGATGGCTTTCGGGAAAGGTGAGCTATGTGTCAGGAGGTCTAAATCCATGCCAAAAGCAACCTGAAAGATTTCACATAAACATATTGTACATAAATATTGTATGGACCATAATGAACAATAATGCTTAAATCTCTTTTCCTTCGTATTTAATTTATATTTTTGAGGTAAGGCTGATGATACCTTAGCAATCACATCAAGWGTAACGCAGTTGACCAGGTGCAACATCTTGGCCTCTGTATTATTATCAGCTGCATCTGCAAGCTTTTCCATCAGTCTCTCTGCCCTCTCATTAAAGATCCCAATTAGACCTCTCAAATAYCTGAAATGAACGAAAGATTTAGAGCAAGCAAACCCCACATCCAGAAGATATAACATGTGGAGTTCCACATGGTTCTGTACTTGGACTAAAGTTATTTATTTTGTATGTAAATGATTTGGTTAATGTGTCAGGGTTGTTGAAATGTGTTTCATTTGCAAATGACACCACATTTTTTTTGTTTGGGTAAAGATGTAGAACGGATGATGGAAATGATGCAAACAGAATTTGTAAAAATACAAACCTGGTTTAAACTTAATAGAGTCATTAAACTTGGATAAAACTAATTATTTGATATTTACTAATAAAAAGAGAACTGTTGATGTTCCATTCAGTGTTGATGGTTTTGAGATCTGTAGAGTCAGTGAGGTGAAGTTTTTGGGTGTCATTATTGATGAAAAGCTGGCATGAAAATCCCACATAAATCATTTAATAACAAAAATAGCCAAATCCATTGCAGTATTATACAAAGTAAGTAACTTATTTAAAGATAAAGCAAAGTTTATATTATATATTGCAATAATAGTTCCACACTTGATTTACTGTGGTGAAGTCTGGGCTAAAGCGTGCAAAACAATCACAAATCCTATTTTTTAATTTTACAGAAAAGAGCCATTAGAATTATCACCAGAAAACATTACTGTCACCCATCAAAAATAGTATTTTGTAAATTGAAATTATTAAAATTTTATGAGTTGATTGGTTATAATATCTTGCAGATTATGTATAAGGCTCATAATTTTTTTTACCTTTAAACATCCAGTTGCATTTTGTTATGAGAGAAAGTTTATATAATCTTAAAGGACTTGAGATGTTTATAAAACCTAAAATTTGAACAAATTTGAAGGATGAATGTACTTCAGTTCAAGGAATAAGATTGTGGAATAATCTGGAAAGTGATTATAAACATGTGGTTCAATGCATTTAAGAGAATGATAAAAATAAGTTTGTTAAAGAAATATGACATTGTATAATGTATATCAAAAGTTGTTTGAAAAGGAATTCAAGTTTGTTTGTTTTTTGTTTTGTTTCTTGATTATTATTGCTTAAATTAATTTTGGAAAAAAGCGGCAGATATTAGATTTTTTTTTCTGCTTCTGCCTCCTTTCATTTTAAGTGTGTGTTTTTTGTGTATAAAATCTTTATTTTTTGTTTTTAAATTAAATGAATTAAACTAAACTAAACTAAACTAAATATCACCACATCTCACAGATGTACTGATACTGAACAATGCTGCATAAAAAGTCTGAGTAGACATTTTGTAAAAAACGGATAAAAACAGAATTAAATACAAAATATAAGAGATAATGACTTAAAAACTGAACAACTCACACGCTGCTGAAGGCAGGGTCCATGATCCGACGCTGTTTGTACCACACTTCATGATTCTGGACTGTTACCAGGCCATTACCAAAAAATCTGCACAACAGACAGATATTAAATTCTCACAAGGATCTAGGGGAATGAAAATATCACAAGGACTATTGTTCGTTCTTTATTGTTGCCTCTGTAAAGAAATGTTAGTATGCCATACAATAACACTAATTTTTGTACACAAGATGACCAGTTTAAACATTTTAAAATGGGGTTCTGCAAAGTTGTTACCAGTAGTTGGTTTCTTATTTGCAGAAGCTGAGTGTAAACAATTTCAAACAGAAGAATCAGGGACAAGTCTCATAAAGCAGGTACTCTGCCTGATAACATAACACGTAACATTTTACAACATGGTTGCATCCGTATTACAGTACCTTTGACCAAACAGGTTATAGAGTCTCTTGTAGACAAACTTGTCYTTGGGGTATTTTGGGGACAGCAGGATTTCCTGAAACAAGAACCAATAAAATGCTGAAGAGTGAGAGAAGGACAGCGGTCAGCAATAAAGTGTGATTTTTTTTTATTTGCTGCTAATCACTGTGTGTGCTAAGAGGCACTGTTAGGAGTTTGAGGGTTAGCCCTACGCACAAATCTTTGGATTTTCATGGCTTGCAACAGGAAAATACATCTAAAATGGGTTGTGCTTTTTATTTTCCTCTGCTTTATGTTTCAAACGCAGGTATCATGTATTGCAGGCACATAGATCAGCTCTATATCACAATCAAGAAATTATGTTACGTTATGAAAATATTATATATCAAAAATAAATCTGACTTTGAATCATAGCCTATCTAAATGCCTTGAAATTGACCTCTGCCTTTTTAAGAACCTCCTACCGTTTCTGACACTCCCACTTCAGCATGTCTTCACAAAAATGCTTTTGTAAAAGAAAAGTCCAACCACTTTTGACGAACTGTCAGGAACTGTAAAACGAGTCTTTGGCATCCTAAAAAAACATTTCCTTAATAAAGGCATTTTTTTAAAAGTGTATTTTTTTAATTATTTGATTTTTTTCCTCTGAGGTTGCAGTCATTGTACAGAAATTATGAGACTGTATCCAATAAAAAAATCCTACACTGTGAATTACAGAACCTTCTGGAGGCAATATGTGTACATTTATATTTGTCATTATGGAGGTATGACAAATAGAATTAAGTAACTTGCCCCTTCAGACACTGAAGAGAAAATACAGGGTTCAGATGGGAGTCAACATAGATTTTAGTTGTGTACACTCTACACTGTGGATGTACTATTGAGAGAAAACCTCAAGACTCAAAACAATAAGAAACAAACTGGGTAAAATTACACAAAAATGTCTAGTTTTGATGTATAAACTATAACAAACGTGAGTTAAGTGTGTTTTGTACTTTTAAAATACTTATAGACCTCAAAAGTTAGTGACATAATCACATGTTAAATTAAACAACTCACGGTGAAATCTCTAAAATTAATACATTATAAATTGTAATTGTGTAAAAACCATTAAAGATTTTAAAACATTAAAATGCGTGCCCTCTCGGCCATATTAAGTCTAACTTTCTGTGACCTGTTTAAGCTTCAAATTGTGTTTTTTGCCCAAGCATTGCTATCTAATGGCCACAAGACAATTTTGAGTAGCTAAATCAGGGGTGGGCAATCCTGGTCCTCGAGGGCCGCAGCCCTGCATGTTTTATATTTCCTCTGCTCAAACACACCTGGTTTGAATGAATG